TAGACAGCTCATCTTCCACCTGAAGACTCAAAAAGGAGTTTCCCAATTTGAGTAAGGAGCAAACTCCCCCATTGCTACTTCTGGTTTTCCACAATCTCCCGAAATGACTGTCACATTATTTTTGCATAATAGCCTTTCAGAAAAGCAAGTATGAGTAGGCACAGGTCCTTCAGAGCTACTGTCACTGAAGGTACAAGCATTTGCATCAGCATCTCTTACTGTAATCTCCTCCTAAAGCCCTGACCCTCCAGCTACTCATTTTTTGGGCTACTGCAAGGCAAACTATGGTCTGCTCAGGTCACCAGCAAAGTGTTCTCAGCATTGACGGATGCAACACTTGACACTGAGAGGCATCCTTAAATGTCTGTGAAGAAGCATATATTACACAAGGGAGGGCTGGTCAAAAAGCCTGGATCTTGTTTCAACTGCATATTTTTGTAGGCTTTTGTTTCAAGTGTTGTTTTGGTTTTTTTGTTTAAAAACCAGCTGAAATATTTACAAAAATATTTCCACAGTGATGAAAAGGCACCTGAACTGCCACCTTCTGTCACTATGATGGGTATCAGAAACATACTGAGTTTTGTGGCAATTACAAGGATGTGCTAAAAATCATTTCAAACCGGTCCATTCAGCAGTTAGCCTAACACAAAAGGTGACTGTGAAAAGCAAAGGCTGCACTGAAGCACATTCAGCATCCACACCTATTTCTTGCTGTGACTGTGCTGTGCCTGTTCCACAGTTCTGTTAACTGCAAGTAATGTGGCCAGTCCCAGTTTAGGAAGTCTTTGGCAAACTCTAAGACACAATCATGGAATAAATACTTTGCCAAAACATACATGAATACACATGCGCAGAGAATTCCCCCTAGAAATGTAGTTTGAGCTTCCTGAAAAATCCTAAAAAGAACATCTAGGAGATCTCAGTTTCTGTTCAGTCTTGCAGTTCCTATTTAAAGACAAGTTAGGCTTCTGTTTTCAGTGTCTGCTTACTTCTGAATTTGGTTTAAAGAGCTGTTAGCATAGACTTAACGAAGTTTCTTCTGAAGGGCTGACTGTGTTTCCTGCTATCTTTATGACAGAACCCATTTAAAATGGGCCTTCTTTATTTAATTATCTAGTCTTTATTTTTGCAAGTTTTATCTCTGAACTAGAATAAATGTTATGGTCAGAATTGTGTCTGCAGACAACAGGGTTATTTTATAAGGCTTAAAAATCCTTTCCTGTACAACCAGATAGTGAAATGAGAGCTCTGTGGTGCAGCTTTGTCCAGGGGACATGAGCACAGGGACCTTTAGGTAGGTAGGTGCCTTAAAAAATGTTACAGATCCGAGGGTTGTTTGACTCCTGATCAATAACTGAAGTTTATCCCCTCTAAACTCTTGTGCCTGAGAGGAGCAATATGGCCAGGCAGCACAGGTAATGCTATAGATCACTCCTGAAAACAGAAAAATTCCTGATGTCCAGAGTTTAAACCAGCTTCTGGACCATTCACCCTCCACAAGAGCTTGGAGCAGCAGAAGGGCTTCCTACAGCCTGCAGAGGAATTACTCTAAAAGGACAGTATAGGACAGATATATCCTGTGGAAGATACATATTTGAGGGCTCTCTGCAGCATGGCTGTGCCCTTTTTCCACCCCCAGGCAGGAAAACCACAAGTTGCTGCTTGTTTTCAGACCTCTCCACCCCCACCTCAGGATTTATTACAGAACACTTAAGCCCAAAAATACAAAAGCTCTGCAAGCAGGGCAGGCACAGCCATAAACGCAGAGAGGCCTCTGCTGCTGTAAATCAGTTCTGCTCAATTGAAATCAATACAAAGCCATAGCTCAGCCTAACACAGGCCAGCAGAGATGTGGGCACGCTGCTCAGTACTGGGGTTCAACAGACAGCTGTCCACTGACAAATGTCAGAGCTGTCCTGGTCTTGTTTACTCCCATTGGCAAATTCCACTATAAGAAACTCCAGGGTTACCAGTGCACAGCCCAGCTTAGCCTCCTTCTCTGCCCATAATTGCTGGGGCTGGGCCAGCAGCTGTTGTACAAATAACCAGAGGGGAGCTGGCCTGACCATTTGAGGATAGGGAAGGGAAGCAGCCTACCAGATAATGTCTGTAAAAGAGCCTGGAAACCACTGACACAGGCTAATTGCTTACTGCAGAGTGAAGTTTCCCCTCTCTGTAGGCTCATTTGATGTAAACTTCCTAGTCATGTCCAAAACCCTACCCGCAGGACAAACGCTGTTAGTACATAAACTGCTTAGCCAAGCCCTGCTCAGGGTTCCTGGGAAATATTCTGGGGAATGAGGAAACAGATAACATGATCATCCTCCTCACTGTGCTCAGCTAGAAACAAACATCTGTCTGGCATCTGGGCTCTGCCACCCACCATTTATTCCCATCCTCAACCTAAACACAGAAGCTCAGCATTTTCATTACCTCTGGTCCCCTCAGTGAGCAAATATGGACAAAAGACATCAGATAAGAGAGGCTGAACTGGCTGAAAATCCCTCAAGGAGCTGGAAGGAACCAAGTGATATATAAAATGCCATGACAAAGTAGCAGCCTGTAGAAACATCCAATTTGTAATGGAGCACAGGCTTCCTTCCCCACCTAATTGCTCATCTTGATTTTCTCCCTTTCTCAGGGAGATGGTGGCAATACTGACACTCCTGCAGGACATATGATCAACCCTGGAAAATTCCTTTAGAAATAACCATGTCTTTCCCAACTCTCTACTCACCTCTGCCTTTTCCCCCCCAAACACAGCCCAAATTATTGCCTGCAGCTCAGCATCCACAGTCAGCATATGGTCCTGTCCCTCCTGCTCCCTGGCACCTGTGTGGGGCTCAGCAAGCCAGAGCTGCTCCTCTTTGCAGGCAGAGACCACAACGTGGCTCAGGAGGACACCAGATCTCCATCCCCTTCCAGGAGGGGCTTGCTCAGATGCAGTATATGTACAACCCACCCCAATGCTCACACACACCTGCATTTCATGTCAGGACACCTTTGGTGAAGACCTAGATTCTGCAGCTGGAATACTTGGTCCCAAACCACATTCCCCTGGAATGGCAGTTCAAGTCACTCAGTTCCATTTCCAGGTTTATACATTTCCTAATTTATGCCTTTTAGCAGCAACAGTTACAAAACAATTCTAATTAGATAGCACTAATCAGGTCAAATAGCACATTATTGACAGCTGCAAAGTCACTATCTGTTGTCTCAAAAAGATTGACTATTTTCCTTATAGAAGTAGGAGATTTATCAATAGACAAAAGGATGCAAAACTCCAAAACCTAAAGCATAATTACATATTTTATTTTGAGCTAAATCTAAAAGGATTCATGCATGGTAATCACTTTTTTGGAGGGTTGAACAAGTGATATTAATCATAAAGGAAGATCATTACAAAAGTAGAATTAGGAAAACTTCACCATGCATAAACTGGTGTGTGGTGAATTTGCGGTTTTTTGTTGCTTTTGTTTGTTTGGGGGTTTTGTTTTTTTAATATCAGGACTGGTTAAAACAAAAAAAAAAAATCAAAAACTCAAGCAAAGAGTTTTTGACACATATGGCAACAGAATGATTTCACTAGTGTTTTACCTTTTTTAAAATATTTAACTACCTGAAGTTATTATTTCAAATATATTTTCCAGTAACAGAAACAAAATAAAGCTGCCAAGTGGCACTTAATTTATAATATTTTACACAAGACAGCAGATAGGAACAGGCCATCCATTCCAACATATACATTTTTCTTCTATCTGCTTATTTATACTCTTTATGAATTCTGGAGCTGAAAATCTTAAGAAAAGCTATTTTAGGCTGCAATGTAGAAGTATATCTTGGGGCAATATTTGTCCATTTGATAATCTCAAAGTTTAAGAAAAAACTTTGTTATTTTTCCTACATTACTAAAATGTTTAGATTTAGTTTACTTCTGTGACCTCATTTTCAAATAAGAGAGCTTTTATTTTGAGATCTAATAGAGAAAATTTGTGTGTATTAATGGAAAAAAAACCTCTAAGCTTACCTAAAATCATTCATTTCCAATGAAATAAATGGTCTGTACAAAAGCGAGGCGTTGGCAGTCAAAAAGTAACATTTGCATATTTATCTGGTAACAGTATTCAGACTTCTTAGAAAGCAATATTTTCCCTTCAACTGTAACTAGCCCTGCACAACATCCCACTTGGAAAAGCAACAAATGTTTGAAATGTATCTCAGAGCTTCAAAAAAAGCACACACAAATTCAATATAATGCTTGAAATCTTTACAAAAAACTTTTTAGGCATCAGACATTTTCCATAGAGTAAACATAGCTATTCACACAATTTCGAGTTGAAGGGTTTTTTTTTAACGACTTCAAATACAGAACTGGAATTTCCTTGAACAAACCAGCTGGCAAATCAAAAACATCATTCTGAAGTGCATTTTTATTTGCGGTATTTCAAAACTGTGCAGACACATCAGGTCTTCCATAAGACTTACAAGAGCAGCGGGACAAACAACAAACCAATATCCTACCTTTTCAGCACCACACATCCTGGTGTGATGCACTGGCAAGTCTCATTGTTGTACATGCACAGAAAGAAATAATTGTAAAATTTCTAGGGTGGATTATTTTTTTTAAAATCCGAATATATATATATTTATGGATGCTTACAGTCTCAACACAGTAAGCAAATGGTATGGGAATGTACTGATTGGACCAGGAGAGTAAAGAGAAGTTTGAGGGAGTATGCCTGTCCAAGGATGTGTTAAGAAACTAAAAGATGACTGAGAAAAGGAGCAGAATAATAGGACAAATCCTTCAGGTAAATGGCAGAAATGCAAGAAAGGAGAGAATGTGTACAGAGGGAGTTTGCAAGGAAGCCAGAAGAAAATACACTGTTAAAACTTCTTTAAACTATTTCTGAGCACAGTAGTAATATAAAAAGCAAATAAACAATTTGATTTTGGAGGAATTTCATGTTTCAGTCCTCTGAAGAAGACAACTCACTCACCCGAGTACGCCCAGTAAGGATCCCCCGAAGCCTTTCGCCTCCGTATCTGCACAGAACTACCATGTCTGTTTTCATGCAGAGAGCCAACATAACCTTCAGTCAGAGCTGGGAAAAAAAGAAGCAGGAATTGTTAAAAGAGTGGTATTTACTCCCTGGAGTTTACATTGCGAAGCTTAATTCTTTGCTAAGCAGAGACTGCAAACTTGGTATTGCTCAAAAAAATTAAACAGGCGTGTTCCTCACCAGTGAAAACCCACCATCCAGAGGTGATTCACAGAAGCCAGGACTCACTAATGCCATTATTCTGGTCTGGCACGTTTCTGTGCAACTCCAATAATTTCCACAAGGAAATATACACAAACAAACAAGTACCAGCCATGACATATGACCAAGGGAGAGGGCAGGAGTAAAGAAATCTTTGTAAAACTCCACAGGCTAGAAGGTATTAAATTAATCAACTAAACCAGAAAAGAATCCATCCTACATTCCATCCCAGGACTTTATTTGGGTTTTATACCTCAGATAATATTTATTTTTTCTCTTCTAAAGGAATGCATTGCTTCCATGAGGTCGTTGGATATTTGAGCTTTTTATGTGCAAATTTTGCTTATTGTTTCTACGCATCTGACTGAACCAAACTGGAGGTGTGTGAATTCACAAATGTCAGTAGAAAGTCTGTAAAAAATTCAGCTGCCTTTCTCAGAGCCCAACTGAAAACTTTTGTGCTATAATAAATGCACACAAACAGAAAAGACCTTATATCAACAGACAAGGAATGTGAGGAACAAGCATGCACCGAATGGCTTTATGGAAATTTAAGTCCAACTGCTACCAAACCACTTATTTGATCAGTAAGAAACCAGCTGAATAATTCAAAATAAAACTTCAGAAAACAACGTAAAGCACTGCTACCCATATGCAGTTACCAAGCACTGCTTTCCCTTCTGTTCCCAGGCCAATTACAGCTGGGCTGAAATGAAGCCTGGAACAGGACTTTATTGAACATCATGCACCAGTTACTCAGTTTGCCTTTCTTTCCCTTTGAGAAGCTTCTGGGTGACACCCCCTTGCACCACAGTAGCAGAGAACACGCTGAGCCCAAGGTTACCCATGTGTGCTAAACTGCTCTGTGCACAACCTTCCCTCTGCAACGTGGATCATGGATTTCTACAGATTTTGGAATCCTGAAGTAGTAGGAAAAATCATGCAATTTCAGGAAAGGCAGTACGGGTTTGGCCCTGCCAGATTTTCTCTTGTGTGAGCAAAGGTACTAATTGTGCAATTTGAATGATTTTTCCAGATTTCTTGGCAACTTCCTAAATGCTAATTCACTCCAAGCTGTGAACTAGAAACACTGGAAACACATCATGCTACCAGTTTTTATAGGCAACACTACCTCACATACCTTATTTTCCTCTTTAAAAATACTAAATTGAACATCTTATTTTCATCCTTTATTTTTTATTTCTTTAATTTATTTTTGTATGTCTACATGGTTGAGAGACAACAGGCACTCATTTCAACAGGAAAGAACAAGTATGGGATGAGAAGACCTAAACACTCTTGGCAAAAAAAACTAAGCAAAGATCAGAGACTATGAAAAGCCCAAGGAAGAAAACATAGGAATAGCCTAGGTGGATGGCTGGAAAGGCTATCAGAAAAAAAAAAAAAAAGGACCAATTATTCACTTAAAAAAAATTACACATGCAGAGAAATACTTCTAAAGTCCCTCCTTGTTACAAAATCAAAGACAACAGCAGCTTTCTTCTGAGCATTCTCTATACAGAGAAGGATTTTTGTTGCCCAGAAAATCTGAGTCCTTCAGGCAGAAGGAAGGTTGCACACTGCCTCCTCCAAAGAATAAGATACTCCTGCAGGTATCTCTTCCATAAGCCCTTCTGTGTGCCTTACCCTCCAGAGAAAGAAACTGAGTCTAAACAATCTATATTTGTTGAAGGTACAAATGCTCCGAGCCAGCGCAAAACATCTGAAGTTGTAAACATCTTTGTACTTTTAGCTGGAACCATCAAAAAAAGCCTCATGGTAACCATGGCATGGCCATGAATCATACCATTGATTTTCAGTGTCCTCTGTGAGAAAATTAAATTATGCAAATCCAAGCTTTTATGAATGCCTAACTTTAAAGTGAAATTAAACATTTGCTTCAGTCAGCATCTTATTTATGCAATTATAAACCTGACATTCTTATGAAAATACACAGTTTTAGTTTTCTGCAAAGACACTTAATAGATTTGTGTACTTATTTATGCCTATGAAAGGTGAAGAGCCATGCTGTACACAAATTTATTTCCACCATCAAGGATGTTACAAACCAGGAGGGGAGCTCAAGTATTTTTCAAGAGAACTATGGGAAGTGACTTGCTGGTTATACTGCTAAATACCTTCTATAGGACTGAAAAAGAAAGAAATTAGAACATCTTGTTCTAAATAAAATCCTTCATCACTGCTAGACAGCCCAACATTAATGTCAATAGTCCACTTAAAAGATGCAGTAATTCAGTAGTCATCAGCAATTTAGAGATTTAGCAACTATGTTTACTGGGTAACTGCAGAAACTCTGGGAAAAGGATGACAGGTCAAGATCCCTGGTCATGCTGTGAACTGGAAAAGTAATGGTCTGTCTCCTTCAAAAATCCTGACACGACACCACCTTCATCCCTCTGTTGGCTCCATTCCCCTGCGTTCACAGCACAGCTATGCACTTCATGAGGCCACGAAAACACTCCAAGAGAACACTGTGGGAACAAACAGCTATTGTTGGCAATATCTTATACTGGTAAAGTCATCAGGAAACCACAGACTCAATCTCATGGTGCTTTTGTTCTTTGGTGTCAACTGGGGTCAATGGACTCTCTCACACTCAAGAGGTGCAAGGTACAGAACAGAGTACGCAGTGACTTTTCAGATAAAAGTCTGGAAGAGCCAAAGCATTCAAGTCAAGTTATTTCAAAAAAGGAAGTGCTTCATACATCAAAACCATCCTCTGTTTCAGGTAGAATCGCTATGTTTTTCAGATTTTGGGGGAGGCTGGGGATGTATCTTCTGACCAAAACAAGTTGACACCACGAATGAAAATTTAACAGGCATCTTGGTGTTACAACATCTGCTTCTTTCACTGAAAATACATAGAGCTAAAATATTCTGTTCAGCTCCAGTCATTAGAGTACATTTATCTATTTTTGTAAATGCTCCAATTCCTCAGTTTCAGAAGATCTACGTGCAAATAAGGGACTTAAAATCAACAGACATCTTCCAGTGTTTCTAACACTGGAACAAGTTTTGGAGAAAATATTTAAGTTACGTTTATTAGCACCAATCATTACAGGTTTCCACAATCTTTCTCAGCTGGGAGACAGTTAACAGTTCCCACACAGGGAGCAGCCAAGTGGTTTCCTGCTCCACTCCTGCAGAGCTGGATGCTGGAGAAAAGCCAGCAATTAGACCGGCTGGTCCGACACAGAGCAAACAGGGGGAAGCTCCTATCTTCTGGGAACCCTGCAAAAGTTGGGGAAGTGGAAATCGGCACAATAGGAGGGGCAGGAACACGCTCCAGGAAGGCTCAACATGGAACAGCCAAATTAGAGGGGTGGAACACACACACACAGAGCAGGAGGCAGAAAAGGGGCAGCAGAAGCCCTTGCCCTGCAAGGTTTCATTTGATACATCACGCCAGTGCTGATGGCAGAGGAGAAATGAATGCCATAATACATGGTCTGAGACGTGCAGATACACGATTAAAAGACAAAGGGACTGATCATACACTCAGATACACAAGCGTGAAATTAAACCCTGAGCAGCTCCCCTGGCTGCCGGGGCCGTCCCGGTGCCCATGAGGCGGAACACCTGCAGCCCGTGGAGCTGTGCTGAGCCCGCCAGCGCTGCTGCCGCAAGGAGAGAGAGGATCCTTCAGAGCTAACATGGAGAAATCTCTTACACACAATTTCATATAATTTTAATGGGTACTGAACGCTACATGATTTCAGATGATGTGGTAAATGAATCAGCCCCTGCCGCAGATCTGCGGACAGTGAAAGCAATGCAGTGCTGGATATGCCTCAGCATTCTGATCAGCTCCCCATTCACTCTGTCTCAACGTATTAACTTTACAATAAAAATTATTTGATAAGTGCCCTCAAAGGTACGATAAGGTAATTCCTGCCTGAATACCTTACTGGTGGTTCATGGCTGACATGAAAACACAAAATTTTATCCCCAATCTACTTTAAATATAAAGCTATTACACTATTCAGGGAGATTATACCCTCAGCATTAGTGTTTAAAAGGTATCAAGCCATCAGCTATGAAAGAAAAATCCTTTAAGGTCGATATGTTATGTCTGAATGGTGAAATCATTAGTTATGATGGTAGATTAACTAGATCATGTGACAAACTCAGATTCTTTTAAGCTTTCTTTGAAGATGAGGGTTGCACACAAATCTGTTTTCAGCTGTTGCAATTAAAATGGTACAAATTCAAAGGTACACACATTGCCCAGCTCATAATCATTCTGACTTGCCACTTTGGACTGCAGTAGCAGCTGAATCACAGTTTTAGTCCTAGTCCCTAATGTGTACAAACTTGTTAACTGATGTACTTCAATGTGGTGCTACAAGCTCACCTTTGGAGACAGAGATTTGACTATTGGAGTCTGGAGTAGTGTCACATTATGAAAACACTTAAAGAAGGGGAGTTAAAGAAAATAAATCTTATTCATGTGTAACAAAAAATTACGAAATCATAAGGAATTCTAGAATTAGTTCTGTATCAAATCAATGCCTGCAGAAAAGAAACTGTCCAAAATCAAGAAAAGCACTATTTTCTTGAAGTCTGCAGAGCAATGCATTTTAAAAGGGAGTGGGGGCACGGAAACATTACCTGAAGGGCTTTTGTATCATCTCTTAAACAGAGTTAAAGAGATGAGTGACCCAAGACATTTAGCCATCTGCAAGCCTAAAGCTTCAAGAAAGCCTCACCAGAAAAAAAGCAGCATCTTCATCTAGGTGCACTCACTGTATTTTTAATTGGACTCTGCTAAAGAGAAGCAGGTGAGCTGGAGACATTGCAACTCTGCTGTAACACATTCT